CCACCAGTTCACTTCCCAATGGCTGGGAAGACTCCATCTGGGTCTCCCGTGTGGGTGGCAGGGACCCAAGCACCTGGGCCATCTTCCGCTGCCTTCCCAAGGCCATAGCAGAGAGCCGGAAGTAGAGCAGGGATACGGGACCCAGGCATTGCAGTGGGCATTTTAACTTGCTGCGTCACCACGGCCAGCCCCTCCACACACCTCAGGAAGCCCCCTTGTGGGTGCGTCCCCACGCCCTGTGCCATTCCAACCGCCACTTCAGTTTAGCAATGGCGCCTTCAGCAACCCTGTGGGGACAGAGATGCACAGGGTAGTTCCTGCTCCGTGGAGCGTGGGGTCAGGGCTGGGGTCACGGAGAGCACCGCCTTCCTTCCTGTCCGGAGTTTAACCCCCATGGCGACCGGATCAGGAGCAGCTTCCTTCCTGTTGTTCCTGGCTGACACCCGGGCTGTCCACAAGCCGCGGGGCCCCGCCCCGGGAGCCCCCCTGCTCGGCTCTGCTCTCGCGCCCTCATTCCCTGGCAGCTCCCCGCCTTTTTCAGAGGCCTGCCTGGAGCTCCGGGGAGAGAAGTGGGCTAGAGGTCAAGATGCCAGGTGAATCCGGGCACGGCCGTAGAAGGGCGTAAGGCACAGAGCCCTGGATGAGGGACAGGCTTGTGGGTGAGCCCAGCACGGCGCCGTGGGCACACACTCATTGGAAGGGCTGGGGAGCGGGGTGATAGCACCCAGTCTGTGTTGGTCAGCAGCTGCGTGCCAGGCACACACGACTCCCTCATTCCCTGCCATGTTTTCAAAGCCAGCACCTGTTAGCCCTACAAGACGAGGGAACTCCCGGCGCTAAGGCGCCATGGGTTAACTCACCGCCTGCGACGCCAGCATCCCATAAGGGCTGCTCCATTTCCCAACCAGCTCCCTGCTAATGCGCCTGGGAAAGCAGCAGAGGATGGCCCAAGTCCTTGGGCCCCTGCACCCGCGTGGGAGACCCAGAAGCTCCTGGCTCCTGGCTTCAGCTGGCCCAATCCTGGCTGTTGCGGCCGTTTAGGGAGACAGCCAGCACATGGAAGATTCTTTCGCTCTCTCCCTCCCGCCCTCTCTAACTTTGCCCTTCAAACAAATAAGTAAATCTTAATTTAAAAAAATAAATAAACTAAAGCTCAAGAGCTTGAGTGAGTCTGCCCCGTTCACGTGGAAGCAGCTTTTAGCTCTAGACTGTGGCCTTTCCCTGCAAACCTTAAATGCAGCCGCCTGCCATAACAAGTGGACTTTGACATCCATTCTGGCGGCCGAGAGGCTGTTTTTCACTCGCCTCTCAGTTCTCAGCTCACGACTACAAATGCCAGTGATTGACAGGAAAATCTTAGACAAACGCGCACGTCGGGGCCAGTGTTGTGGCATAGCAGGTAAAAGCCCAGCCTGTGGCGCTGGCATCCCCTCTGGGCGCCTGTTCGAGTCCTGGCTGCCTCACTTCCAACCCAGCTCCCTGCTAGCGGCCTGAGAAAAGCAGTGGAAGATGGCACAAGCGTTTGGGCCCCTGCACCCACATGGGAGGCCTTGGTGAGGCTCCTGTCTCCTGGCTTTGGCCAGGCCCAGCCCTGGGTGTTGGGGCCACCTGGGGAATGAACCAGAGGATGGAGAGTCTCTCTCTCTCTCTCTCTCTCTCTCTCTGTCTCTGTGTCTCCCTCTCTCTCTCTCTCTCTCTCTCTGCAACTCTGACTTTCAAATAAATAAAAGCAGTACAGCCCCCTGCCCCCAGAGTCCGCGCTCACCTCCTGAGCCGCTGGCCGAGGAGGACGTCCCTGGCGCCCGAGCAATGGGCAGAGCCCTAGCGTGGAGGGGGTTTCCCAGGAGGTCACGGTCAGTGGGCCGAACCTTGCAGAGGAGCCACAGAGATAAGGGCCGTGGACGTCTTCCTAGCTGGCGTTATCCACTCTCACTTCCGTCCCTGCCCCCTCACATCCGCCCTGTTCTTCAAGCTCCAGCCCAAATCCCACCTCCTCCTAAGTCCCTGCCACGTGGGAGCTTGTGGCCTTACTTAGTGTGGTGGTGATTGGCGGGCCCACGGCGGCGGGGCTGAAGGTGTACCTTTAAGATCCCCACGTGCCTGGGTCTGACTCCCAGCTGTGCTAGCTGCTGAGTGTGTGATCTTGGGGAAGCCGCTTAACCTTGCTGTGCCTTTATTTCTCCATCTGTGAAATGGGCCCAGGGATGGCACCTCCTTCGTGGAGCTCCCGTGAGGATGAGTGGTGAGGACATGGCCAACAGCAGCTGCTTGGCTGTTCTGTCTGGTCCTACCCCATTCACTGAGGATGCCTGAGCGCTTCCCCCAGGCTCCCTGTTGGCCTCTCTACTGCTGGGAACTGGTTCAGACCCATTCAACTTCCGTAGGGAAATTGGCATGTGCCGAGTGCCGCTGTGAGTGTCCACCTTGGTTAATTCCCTAAGGCCCTGTGAGGCGGGTGGCGGTAGAGCCCACCAGCAGATAAGAGAAGGCAGTGACGCACCCGTTTGGGCGGCAGGAGCACGCGGAAGCCAGACGCTGCGTCACCAGCGCTCGGACCCGCTCCGCTTCCTGGACAGACAGGCGAGGGGTCTGGCAGTGAGTCCCCGGAAGCTCCCAGCTGGTGTGTCGCTCCGTGCCCCCCCACCCCCGCTGCCCAGCGGAGCCGTGAGCCGAGACACCGAGGCTGCAGGGAGCGAAACCACAGGCTCGGAGTCACCAGCCAGGAAGTGGCAGAGCTGGCGGGGTTTTCCTTGGCCGTGGGCAGCGTGCTGCCACCCAGGCACAGCTGTGTCCACATGACAGATGCCGGACGACTCTTAATTAGACACCTCCGGTCCCAATATAGCCTGCACCGGGCCTCCCGGGCGAGGGGGTTCCAGTGCCTCTCATCTCCTTTGGAGGTCTGGGGTGGGCCCCTTGGGGGGTTCTGCCAGCCGGCATGGCTCTGAGCGGCATTGATGGGCGGGCCCAGGGCCGCCACGTGGTGTGGGGGTAGGGATGGGGCAGGCTGGGAACCGAGGAGCCCGAGTACCCTCACTTGGCCTCTCCGTTCCTGCTTCCACCCAGCAGCTGCTTTTTGGCTCTTTAAGGAAGATTTTTATTTATTTATTCCTTTTACAGACAAATATATATAGAGAGAGAGAGAGAAAGGGAGAGCAAGCGATAATGCTTCCGTCTCCCGGTTCACTCCCCGAATACCTACAATGTCGGGGAGTGGACCAGGCTGAAGGCAGAAGCTGAGAACTCCATCTGGGCTCCCAAATACTCGGGCCATCACCTGGCCGCCCCTCCACCCCGGCCCCTTGTGTGTTAGCAGGAAGCTGGAATCGGGAGTGGAATCAGGACTTGAACCTGGCACTCAGATTCGAGGTGCAGGTGTCATGGCCACTCAGCCAAGCGCCTACCCCAGCACCTCTTTTAAAAGATATTTCTGTTATTTGTTAGATACAAAGATAACGTGCACGTGTAAGACTTTGGAACCATCTAGAAATGCATATAAGTGAATGTTCTCGCCCTTGATCCTCTGAGTCCCCCCCCTCGGAGGCGCCAGCGTTGGTGACACTCGGGTGTCCCTCCAGGTCTGTCCAGGTGTGTGTGCATGTGTATGTGTGTGTGGACACACAGAACAGAAGGGACCCCGTCCACACAGGTCGGGTCAGCTGCAGCTTGCTTTGCACTTCACCTTGAACGTGGTCCTCGTCCACGTCGGCACACAGACTTCACGCGGTCACATTCCTGGCTGCTTAGCATTCCGTTCTCTATTTCTCTATTGAGTTTCTACTGCTGGATGCTTGATCAGTTTTTCCAAGGTTTCATTATTACCAAGAAAGCTACAATAATTAGCTTTAAATTTCTGCCTCTCCATGCTTGGGCAAGGAAGCATCTGTAGATTCCTGGAAACAAAATTCCACCCAAGAATTATTTCCTAAGCACCTACTGGGAGCCATGCCATGGACCTACTCTCTGCCCTCCTAGTTCAGATTTTGGTGCAGGGCAGGGAGAGACAGACAATAGCAGATCCCCCCCACCTCAGTGTGCACCAGCTCAGAGGTGACAAGCCAGAGGAAGAGGGACCAGGATGGGATAGGGTTACTGATTTTGTGTGGGATGGTCGCGTGAGTTGGGGCAGAAACTGGCAGGAAGCGAAGGGACACACAGGGCGGGTAGCTAGCAAGTGCAAAGGCCCTGAGGCTGCAGCAGGCTTGGTGTGTCAGGTCTGGTAAGGTTCGTGTGGCCATAGCCAAGTGACCGAGGACGAGAAATGGCCTTTGGGAAGGAAGGGACTTTGCATTTCACCATGAGTGACACCCATTCTGAGCAGGAGAGAGGAGTGATTAGCATCACCCAAGGCCTGCTTGGAGCTTCGGGTGGGCACCCAGTTAGGTGCAGGGACGGCTGGGCTAACCCCTGTGGGAGGGGAGGGTGGCGCGAGGCCCAGGGGTGTCAAGGGGGCGCCTACAGCACTGGGCACGCAGCGGTTGAGTGGCCTGAACTTGGAGGGGGGGGCGGGGATCAGCCCGGCTCCATGGTCTCCTCCAGCTACCTTTGCGCTGGCTGTTGGGCTCCACCAGGGTTGGAGCTTTTTGGTGAGCACCGTGGAGGGAAGGAGGAGCCAGAGAGGACCGGCGACATGCCAGGAGGAGCTGCAGAGGGGGAAGAGACTTGCTGTGACAGTGGCGCAGCCCTGGGCCCTTTTTGCTTCCTCTGTGAGCACCCCCCGTGTGGCCATTTGCTAGGAGGGTAGAAGGTTGCCACAAGAGTCTTAGCAAATCACTCCTCTCTCCAGATTTACGGCCTCCGTGTTGCAGAACGCTGGGAGGTAGAGCGATAAGGCCTTCCCGTGGGGGTGGGGTGGGGAATAGTGATGACAAGAATGGTCCAAAGTGCACTGTCCAGAACTGTCGTCTCGCTCGACAACAGACCCGCCTTGAGGTCTTCCTCTTCCTGATTGATTTGAGAGATCGCCCATCCTGGTTCACTCTCCCCAAATGCCAGGCCAGAGCCAGGAGTCCAGAACTCGATCCAGGTCTCCCACAAGGGTAGCTGGGACCCAACCACTCCAACCATCACCACTGCCTTCCAAGGTGTGTGTTAGCAGGAAGCTGGAGTCGGGAGCTGAGTCAAGGCGTTACAGCGTGAGCCCCGGTGTCACACCTGCTGGGCCGAATGCCTGCCCCCTACTCCCTGCCTCGGAAGCCTTTTCATCCTGGCTTCCGCTCTGACTCTCAGTGGGGGTGGGGGGAGCAGGCCTCCCGCCCTTCTCCAGCAGGGGACCCCTCCCCAAGGCTCAGACCCGCTGGGAGCATTGAGTGTCACTGCACCTGCCTTGTAGGTGGCACTGAACACCTGCTGGGGTCCCTGTTTGTGGGAAAACTCTTGAGTACCCAGCAGGCTCTGGGGCTCCCTGCAGGAACAGCCAAGGCCATGGTTTCCCTCCTGGAAGACCTGCTGGGGAGAATTGAGCCTTAGCAAGGTGGAGCTGAGGTAGCCATGGGCACCTGGTGAGCCGCAGGAGGTGCCGGGCCAGGGTTCCAGGCACTCACCCCTCCTCCCCCCTTCATCCACGAGGACACTGAGGCCCGGGGAGATTGGGTGGTCCCCCCAGGGCTCAGCAGGAAATGCAGAGCTGGGAGCTTTTCCCACGGGGTCTTCCACGCGCATACCTTGATCTAGTTCAGGACAGCAATGGGCATCTTAGACCCACTGAGAGCAAGACATGCCCTCTGCTGTCAGCCTACCCCCTGCCCAGAATCAGGCTCAGTAAACCCGCAGGGTCTTCAAAAAGCTCACGGAAAAGGCATTTGGTGGGGGTGGGGGTGGGGGGTGGCAGGAACCTGTATGGACTTCAAAGTTTTTGCACCAAAGTTAACTTCATTTCCCGTGAACTGATGCAAGTCCCTTTGCAGGTACTGCTGGTGACCCGGCCTTCCTTTCCTCCCCTCTCCCCCCCACCCCGGCGCCCCCAGGCCCTCCCCGGTGACTGTTCGTTGTTACGCCTGCAGGAGGCGCTGCAGTCGTCACGCACCTGGCGGGGGAGGGGGGTGATGTGGCGTGGGGAGCAGCGTAACCCTCTTCCTCCCCGTCCCCCAGATCATCCTGAACTTCACGTCCATGGACCTGTACCGCAGCCGCCTGTGCTGGTATGACTACGTGGAGGTGCGGGACGGCTTCTGGAGGAAGGCCCCCCTAAGAGGTAAAGGCCCCCCCTTTTTCCTGCGTCGCCACCACAGCTGGGTCCTTAGAACCACTCACACCCCGCCCTCCCTGTTCTCCTCCTGGGGCCAACACCTGGCCAGGCTGTGGGGCCAGGAGCCCTGGAGTCCTCAGTCCCAGTGTGACCTCAGGCAAGTCCTGTGTCCCCGGTTGGCCCTTCACAGTCGGTACGGGCTTCCAGGCCTCACTGGACCGGTGCAGGGGGGAGTCACGGGGGCCCCCGGGGGCTGTTCTGAGCATCCCAGGTGCTTTCAAGGCTCCCTTTGCTCTGTCACATGATCTGGCTTGTGGGTGTCCCCAAGCAGCCTGGCTTCAGAGACATTTGTTATAAACGGGTCAGGCCAGCCGCTTGCCCCCCGGGGCCTTGTTTTCTGGGGACACTTTGTCCCTGGTCGTGCAGGGGCAGGGCAGGGCAGGGCGGGGGAGTGTGTGAGAGAGCGCGTGGGGACTAAGTGGGTCAGAACCACAGAACAGACGGTGCTGTAATGAACTCGGCACAGGGGGCCGGTGCTGCCCGAGGCTCCTGTACCACACCCGAGCGACTACGCAGTGGCTCCAGGGAGACAGAGCTAGACAGTTAACGTTTATGTTGGTGCAAGCGGTTTTGAAATCTGTGCATAGTTTCGTCATCATATGCATTTCCCACGACCTTTGGAAGTCCAGGGAGGATGAGCCACGCCCCTCTGGTCTGGATGCAGTCCTGGAGGGCTCTTGCGCGCTCACACCTTTGTTCCGTGGCCTGTGCCGGAAGCAGCCTGGCTCCCCACCCCCACCCTCCCCTTCCTCCTAGCCCCCCCCACCGGTTAGTCACCCAGAGCAGCTGTCGGCTGCAGACGTGTTAACCTTTCCAAGATCCTGGTTTCTTGTTCATAGCTCACATTCCTAGGCCGGCAGCCTCTGTCCCTGTGGGAAGCTGGGAAACACCCAGCCTTGTTGGCCACACAGATCCGTCCTCCCGGGTCCATTCCGACTGCAAATAACCCACAGATGGCCAGCCTCACCCATGAGGTGGGCTTCCTGGCCGGTTCTTCCCGCTAGGGGAGGACATTTTTCAGACTCGGTCCGCCCTGGGGTTCCAGGATTTATTTCGGGGCCTTGGGGGTTATCCGCTGTGTTTGAGCCCGCGAAAGCCTGCCTGGCTGGCATGCGCAGAGCGGGCTCAGCCCCTGTCTTGATTGTTCCTTAGCCTGGAGAAAGGTGGTGGCAGGGATACGAGAATGTTGCCCTCCAGGGGCGTGGCACTCAGGGGACACTGGCCTCTTATGAGAAGTCACCTTTGCCTCCTGTTGGGAACTGGCTGGCTTGAGCCTCCCGGAGAGGCAGCGGGGGGGAGGGGGCTGGGGCCTAGGCCGGGTCTCAGGGCTCTTCCCCGCTGTCACACAGGCCGCTTCTGCGGGGGCAAGCTCCCCGAGCCCATCGTCTCCACCGACAGCCGCCTCTGGGTTGAATTCCGCAGCAGCAGCAACTGGGTTGGAAAGGGCTTCTTCGCGGTCTATGAAGGTACAGGGAACGGGGCCACGGGGAGAGGCCGTGGGCCTGCTGGGGAGGACCAGCCTGGGGCACAGGGGCTAGGGGCTGCCAAGCAGGGCAGAGCGTGCTCATTAGCCACACCCTCTTCCCCAAAGCCATCTGTGGGGGTGACGTGAAGAAGGACAATGGCCACATCCAGTCACCCAATTACCCGGATGACTACCGGCCCAGCAAGGTGTGCATCTGGAGGATCCAGGTGTCTGAGGGCTACCACGTGGGCCTCACGTTCCAGTCCTTCGAGGTAGGTTGGGGACCCCGTGATGGGACGCTGAAGCCCACCCCCACGCCCCCCGCCTCCCCGCCGCCAGAGCTCTGTCCGCCCGCTGACCGTGTCCCCGCCCGCCCAGATCGAGCGCCATGACAGCTGTGCCTACGACTACCTGGAGGTGCGCGACGGGCACAGCGAGAGCAGCGCCCTCATCGGGCGCTACTGCGGCTACGAGAAGCCCGACGACATCAAGAGCACCTCCAGCCGCCTCTGGCTCAAGTTCGTCTCCGACGGCTCCATCAACAAAGCCGGCTTCGCTGTCAACTTTTTCAAAGGTGCGGGCTTCCCTGCTGCCGCGTCCTGCCATCCCCGCGGCCAGTCCGTCGCCTGTGTTCCTTTACTGGGGCCAGCGCAGACTGTGGGAGGGACGCAGGTGTGTGAGGAGCTGCTGAGGGGAGGGTCCACCCCTGGGGGAGGGGCTACTGGGGGAAAGATCCACCCCTGGGGGAGGGGCTTCTGGGGGAAGATCCACCCCCCTGGGGGAGGGGCTGCTGGGGGAAGATCCACCCCTGGGGGAGGGGCTTCTGGGGAAAGATCCACCCCTGGGGGAGGGGCTGCTGGGGAAAGATCCGACCCCTGGGGGAGGGGCTGCTGGGGGAAGATCCACCCCCTGGGGGAGGGGCTGCTGGGGGAAAGAGCCACCCCCTGGGGGAGGGGCTGAATCAGTCTTCCATCTGTAAAATGGGCGCGGTAACAGTCCTTCCCCCACAGGCTGCGTGTGTGGACTGAAAGAGCGATGGAGGAAGATTACTTAGTGAGGGGAACAGCACAGGAGAGGCGCCAGGAAATGGTGCTGGCCGCCAGCCCAGTCCATGTGCCCAGAAGGGAGGCTCTGGGGCCCACGTGGGGTATCTAGTACCCTCGGGGGGCTGGGAGGCAGGTTTGTCCACAGCTGAGTGGAGAGGTGAGCCTCACCGCTGACTCCCCCACGCTGGAAGGTAGACGCAAAGCCTGGGGGGTCGTGAACTTGACCCTCCGGCAGAGGCTGGACGAGGGCCCGGCGGCAGCCTGCAGGGTCTCTAACCCCGCCTCTTTCCTCCGCAGAGGTGGACGAGTGCTCTCGGCCTAACCGCGGGGGCTGCGAGCAGCGATGCTTGAACACCCTGGGCAGCTACAAGTGCAGCTGTGACCCCGGCTACGAGCTGGCCCCCGACAAGCGCCGCTGTGAGGGTGCGCGGGCCCGACCCCCTTCTCCCCTGAGCCCTGCCCGCACCGTCCTGATGCCGTCCCCAGCCTTGGGGAGCTGGCCGGAGTTGCCCGTGCCCTCCTCCCAGCTCCTGGAGAACCCCAGCGAGAATGCACACTTGCCATGTGTTCTGCAGGCTGGCTTGGGGTTTGGCTTTAACGCTGACCTTGACCTGCAAAGTGATGTCAGTGTGGTGACCACACTGCAGGCTAAGGCGTCAGCGGGTTCTCCGAGCTGCCCCCTCTCCCGAGCCTCCAGGGGCTCCCAGGAGCCCCTGCCTCCCCCTTCTCCCTCTCAGAAGACCCCTGGCCTGTGGGGTCTTCCCACAGAGAAACACCCAGGCTTATACAACCCCGGACACCCACCCTCACCCTGCCTACTCCCTTCCGTCCCAGACGGATCAGACCCACACCCCAGCCCGGCCCTGCCCTGCAGTAGGCAGTAGGGACTCCTGGTGACTGATGTCCCCCCCCTGGCCCCCCCCAGCTGCCTGCGGTGGGTTCCTCACCAAGCTCAATGGCTCCATCACCAGCCCGGGCTGGCCCAAGGAGTACCCCCCGAACAAGAACTGTATCTGGCAGCTGGTGGCACCCACCCAGTACCGCATCTCCTTGCAGTTTGACTTCTTTGAGACCGAGGGCAACGACGTGAGTGCCCACTGGGGCTGAAAGGGGGCGGGAGGCATGGGAACCCGGCTCGTGCCCACTTCCTGTCCTCCGAGTGCACTCTGAGAGTGGGGAGGAGGGACCACACCCCATTCAGGGAGGCAGGGAGGCCTGAGGGAAGATCTGATATGGGGCAGTAGGCAGGCAAAGGCTCCAGAGCCCACAGGCCAGGGAGCTTCCCCACAGTGGGGTGGTCAGGAGAGGCTTCCTGGAGGAGGCAGCCTGGAGCTGGGCTTCCCGGCAGGTGTGCAAGTACGACTTCGTGGAGGTGCGCAGCGGGCTCACGGCCGACTCCAAGCTGCACGGCAAGTTCTGTGGCTCCGAGAAGCCTGAGGTCATCACCTCCCAGTACAACAACATGCGCGTGGAGTTCAAGTCCGACAACACCGTGTCCAAAAAGGGCTTCAAGGCCCAGTTCTTCTCAGGTAACCCTGGGCTGCCCCGCTCCAGCCCTGCACACGGCTGTCTTCCCCCTGGCGCTGCCACCCCCCCCCCCCGCCCCAGCCCCATCTGGTGCCTGATGGTGGAGCTGGTGCACCTGCTCCCTGCCCCCCCCCCCCCAGCCACATACCCCGGGCCAGGCCCTCAGGCATCTGAGTTCCCAGATTCTGCACCCTCAAGGGAGTGGCAGGCCTCCAAGCACTCCAGTGCCGGGAGGGTGGGGAAGAGGAGGACATTTGCCCCCGGTGAGGCGGGCCAGATTCCCTGGCAGGGGCCAGACTTCTAATCAGGCCCCGAGCAAGCCGTGCTGGGACTCCACCTTTCAGCACCCAGGCCTGCCTGCAGGATCCCAGCAGCCGGCAGCCCCCTCCACTGCAGGGGGCGGAATCAATGGAGGCCTCAGCCTCTCTGAGCTGCAGGGGGCGGGGGCGGTGTCTTCAGAGGCAGTGGGCGGGCACCCAGGGTGTGTGTGGGGGCCCTGTGGTGGAGGGTGGGGAAAGCGGGAGGCCCCAGGGCTGGCCGGGGCAAGGTGGTTTTGTGGACGAGCCGCCCGGGGGTCCTCATCCCCAACCCGCCTGGTGGGCCGGGCATGGGGTGGGCAGGAAGCAGGAGGCCACGGCCGCGTCCACGCTGCCTCCCTTCTCCCCCTCCTCGCCCAGGGTCCTGCATCCTCGAGCCCCTATGTGGCCGCCCTGCATTCCCCTGCCTGCCCCACCTGGATGCCATGCACCTGCCCCTGTGCACGGGTTCCCTGCTTGGCACTGCCAGCCACCCTGCTCTGCTTAAAGTGCCCCATTGAGCTTCTGACTCAAAGCCATCCCGCCCCGCCCCACTGCTTGCTAAGACCCCTCCCCCGCCCCCACGCAATGCCAGTCCCTCCCTGCCCTGTGCCCAGCTCCTCCAAGGTGCTCGGGGGTGGGCTGCCCCGGGGATACCATTACCTGCTTACTCTCGTCTCTTCCTGCCCTTCTGTTGCTCCAGTCTTGGGGTGAGGTGGGGTGGGAGGGGGCTGGCACTTACCTCTGTCAGGCCTAGTCACTGCCCTGCCCCCCTGCGTGACCCCGTGCCACCCCACCCTCAGCCCTGCACACACACATGCTCACACACACCTGCAAGCACGCACACACACGGGTGCACACGCATTGCCCCGTCGCGAGGCCCCTCACCGGTGGGCATCAAGTGCAGCCCCCCAGGGCGTGGGGCCTCTGTCTGTGGCCCCCTCCCCCAGAAGGGGGCCTTTTGGACACTTGGGACACCCATCAAGGAGACCCTAAGGCAAGAAGGAGAAGAAAGAGCCGGAGACCTTCAGTGGGACCCCCGCCACCCTCCGGGGCATGTGGGCACTGTAGGGTGAGTGCCATCTCCTCGTCCAGGCCCGCGCCCGCCCCCTCTGTGCCCTTGCCCCTCCCACAAGCTGCCCCCTGGGCTCCGAGGTGAGGCTGCCCACTGCTCCCAACCTGTGCCAGAGTCCCCTGCCCCCCGAGGACGCTGACCTGGCCGCCCCCACTTGTCACTCAGCCAAGGACACACCCATTCACTCGGCCATTTGTGAGCGCTTATTTTACCCCTGCTGTGTGCCAGGCACAGTCCTAGGTATTCAGGGTACAACTAGGAGGAAAAGGAGTGGAAACAGGCCCGGGGAGTCTTTGCTGGGCCCCTTACTGCAGAGCACACAGGGATGTCTGCGGTGCCCCTGACCCCTACATCCCTGCAGGGTTAGTGCAAAGGCAGCCCTCGCTCCCTCCCCTCTGATGAGCCTCCTGAGCAGGAGCCCTTGGGAAGGGACCCCTGTGCGTCCCCAGGGGTCTGGCCCATCTGCTTTAGAGAAACAGAGCCTTCTGGGAGCTGATGCTGCAGCCCGAGGGCCTCTCTGATGGGGCCCAGGAGGTCTTTGCCACCGGCCGGCCGGCTGGCTGCCATCGGGTGGCTTTCTCCCTTGGGGTTCGCCCGTGGACCATCACACGGCCCCCCAGTGCCCACAGACAAACCTGAGGCTACATGGCCGAGGCCTACACACACCGCACCACGTGCAATCCTGTGTGTCAGTGCACGGGTGTGTGTGCGCGCGCGCACGCTTCCTCACATGGGCGAGGGCTCTTTGGAAACTTCGTGGAAAGTGGGCACTCTGAAAAATCCACGGGTGCATTTCCATCCTGTCTCGCCTCAGATCGCTTTATCTTTTAATCACATCTTTCCACGGGCTTTGGAAGGGCCCTTGGCCGTGGGAGCCGGCAGCGGCGTGTGTCTCCAGGTGGGCGGGTGACGCGTGTGCGTCTGTCTGGGTCCTGGTATCTGCACCCATGTGCACAGTGAGCGGCCATGTTGCAGTGCTGGCCCACGGGTGTGGATTGCCGTTGGGGGTGCAGCTCCCACGAGCCCCCTGCCCACCACTCCTGGTTCCTCTCCTCCCGAGTGCGCGCCTCGGTCCTGCGTGCCCCCCAGGCCTTCTCCCTGCCACAGGCTGTCTCCTGTCCCCTGTTGCTGCGCCTCTTTCCCCTGCCCCTTGCTAACCCAGCCCTCCGTGACCTGGCTGCGCCGGGCATGGCTGCCCGCATGCGTGCCCTGCCTGCCTCCCCGCTCCGCCCCGTGGCCCCGGGCCTGGTCTCCACTGCTGTCCCTCCCCTGGGCCCCCGCCCTCCACCCCCACCCCTCGGTCCCTTTTCTCCTTCTCTCTCTCATTTCAGAAAAGAGGCCAGCTCTGCAGCCCCCCCGGGGACGCCCCCACCAGCTCAAATTCCGAGTGCAGAAAAGAAACCGGACCCCCCAGTGAGGCCGGCCAGGCCTCCCAGACCCTACGTGTTACTCAGGAACCTCACCTCGGACGAATGGGCTGGGGGCTGCGGCGCCCCCCGCCCCCGGCCGCCGCCTCCGGCCGCACAGAACTGGTGCTCTCCTCTCCTCCTGGTCCCTCACAGCCACAGGGGGACCCCACCCCCACCCCTCCCCCCATTTTGATGGTGTCTGTGACATTTCCCGTTGTGAAGTAAAAGAGGGACCCCCGCGTCCTGCTCCTTTCTCTTGCAGTCTGCTTGTCCGTGTGTCTGTTTTTCCACTTGTCCGTCTGTCCAGTAAGCAGGTAATGGTAGAGGGTGCCCCCGGCGGTCAGCTCCGACCCTTCGCCCCGCCTCCAGCCCACTTCTGCTCTCTTTCCCACAGCTGGGCCCCCTCAGCTGGCTCCGCTCGATGCAGTGCCCGGGACCCCCCACCCCAACTCTCCACCCCCCTCCCCCATCGGCGCCTTGCCCCCCCCCCCCACCTCACCCCTGCCCAGCTGTCTGTCTCCTGGAGGGAGGCAGCCTGGCCGCGTGCCCCGGGAGCAGGCAGCCCTGGGCCCTGCACAGACCCAGCCGCCCGTGTGCTCCCCTTGCAGACAAGGACGAGTGCTCCAAGGACAACGGCGGCTGCCAGCAGGACTGCGTCAACACGTTCGGCAGCTACGAGTGCCAGTGTCGCAGCGGCTTCGTCCTCCACGACAACAAACACGACTGCAAGGAAGGTAGGGACTGTGCCGAGACCCAGGCTGGCGGTGCGGCGTCTGCCCCGGGCGGCCCCGCGCTGGGGAGCGTCCGGACGGCCAGCGGTGCCTTCTCCATCAGCCTCAGTTCAGGCTCCCGGACCCGAGCAACCGTGGGGGTCACCTTGTGCCTCCCACATGTGGCGCAGGGACTCCCTCCACCTTCCCCAGCGTCCAAGCTCTGGTCTCTGCCCGCAGGGGACAGACGGACCGGGGCTCCATCTTGCCAGCTCTTAACAGTCGTTAGGGCTTTCTAAGACCCGCATCTAAGTGTTTTTCTTTCTTTCTTTTTTAATTAAAGATGTATTTATTTGTTTGAAAGACAGAATGATAGCCAGAGGGAGACACACACACACACACACACACACACACAGGTCTTTCATCTGCTGATGCACTCCTCAAATGGTCACCATGACCAGGGGGAAGCCAGAAGCCCAGAACTCCATCTGGGTCTCCCACATGGGTGCAGGGGCCCAAGCACTTGGGCCATCTTCCACTGCTATCCCAGGTGCATTAGCAGGGAGCTGGATCGGAAGCGGAGCATCGGGACTTAAAGCCATGCCCTGGTATGTGTCGGCTTAACCTGCTGTGCCACAACGCCAGCCCCCGAGTGTTTCTCTTTCTAACGGCCTCCCTCCAGCACGATGGACAGGACAGTGGCTCAGAGCCCAAGAGGGAGGGGATGGGATACTGGTTGAGGGCACAGACACGAGAGCCAGGGCGCCTGTTCCAGCCCTGTGTTTGGCGAGCTGTGTGCCCTTGAGTGGCTGTTACCTTCTTAGTGCCCCGGGTGCTTCTGTGTGAACTTAGGGAAAAAGAAGCCCTCTGTCCGAGGAGTGCCGGGGCCCTTTAACCTGGCAGCAAGTGCCCCTGGGCCTGTTGTCATGCTGGGTCCCACTCCTGACCCCGGAGCCCCGCAGCCCCACCCCAAGAATCCAGAACTTCACAGGTGGCAAACTCCACACGTGACCGCGGTGACAGCTCACGGAGAAAAGGCAGCTACGTGGAAAGGCCGGGTAAAACCACCTGGCGGCCCCGCGCAGAGGCTCTGTGTGACGTGTAAATGGATTCCGTGTTCCGATTCGGGTCGCACCCTGAGATACCTCACCGCGTCTACGCACATTGCCCCAAACCTGGAAGAACCCAAAACACTCGTGCTGCCAGCATCTTGGGCCACGGATGCTCCCATGCCATCCCACACCATCCCTGACGCCACCTGCTACAGCCCTGGCCCGCTGCGTGGGCTTCCCACGCAGCCCCCCTCAAGTCTCGCTGACTCCCAGGGCCCCCACCTCTTAGCTGGAGGGGGTTGTGTTCTGGTGCTGTCTGCTCTGTCCGCTCCCGGTGGGGAGGAGACCTCCAAGGACAAACAGCCGTGGGAAGATGCCCATCTACCCATCCGGCCTCCTGCCTCACTTGGAAGCACGCACGATCGCTCCCTTGGGTGCAGGAGCTCCAGAAAGGAGACCCTGTGTTCCAGGGAGCTCACAGTCTAGCTGGCGAGAGACGCAGAGGTGCTGGGAGACAGAGGCAGGGATGGGCGGCGGCCACGTGGGGAGGGTGGCGTGGCCGCATGAAGCCGTGGAGGCTCCGATGGGCAGAGACAGCAGCTTGGCCTGCAGCCTGAAGGGCTGTGCCGGCCTGGCCCTCGTAGCTGTACGTGCATTCGGTGAGCCCCTGGCCGTGGGCCTGGCCGTGCAGCCTGCGCCCTGCCCGTCCCTTTCTCCTCCTCCGCCCAGCAGGGCCCTGGCTGCCCACTTTTCCACGTGGAGCACACGGCCCTTGGTGATCGGTATCTGTTTTCAAGCTGTTTGGGATGCGCGTTATTATTATTTTTTTTAATGTTTATGTATTTGAAAAGCAAAGCAACAGAGAGAAAGGGAGAGAGGGGGAGAGTGAGACAGAGAGACAGGGAGAGACAGAGAGATCTTCATCCACTGATTCATTCCCCAAATGCCTGCAGCAGGAACTGTGTTGTGGCACAGTGGGTTAAGCCGCTGCCTATGACACCACCATCCCATGTGGATGCTGGTTCGAGTCCCAGCTGCTCTGCTTCTGTGCTAGCTCCTGTTAATGTGCCTGGGAAAGCAGCGGAAGATGACCCAAATAGTTGGGCCCCTGCAACTCACATGGGAGACCCAGATGAAGCTCCTGGCCCCTGTCTTTAGCCTGGCTCAGCTCCAGTCATTGAAGCCATATGGGGAATGAACCAGTCTCCCTTTCTCTCTCTCTCTCTCTAACTCTGCCTTTCAAATCTCCTTTTTTGAAAGATTTATTTTATTTATTTGAAAGACAGTTATAGGGAGAAGTAGAGACGGGGGGGGGGGGTTTCCATCCACTGGTCACTTCCCAAATGGCCTCAACGGCCAGAGCTGTGCCGATCTGGAGCCAGGAGCCAGGAGCTTCTTCTAGGTCTCCTACGCTGGTGCAGGGGCCCAAGGACTTGGACCATCTTCTGCTGCTTTCCCAGACACATTAGCAGGGAGCTGGATCAGAAGTAGAGCAGCTGGGACTCTAACCAGTGCCCATATAGGATATTGGTGCTGTAGGTCAGGGCTTTAACCCACTGTGGCACAGCGCTGACCACTCAAATAAATCTTAAAAAATAAAAAAAATGCCTGCCACAGCCAGGGCTGGGCCAAACCAAAGCCAGGAGCCTGGAGCTCCATCTGGGCCTCCCACATGGAGGGCGGGACTCATCTACTTGAGCTGTCACCTGCTGCCTCCCAGGGTGCTCAGAGTGGAAAGTGGGGGCGAGACTCAAACCTGGACACTCAGATACGGCACGTGGGCATCCCAAGCAATGGCCTAATAGCTGCCCCAAACCACACTTCCCAGGGGACAGGCTGGGGACTGCCATCGCTGAGGGTGCTGGCGAGGAGTGTGGGTGCTCGGCCCTGCCTCCAGCTGCAGAGGAGGGTGGCTGAGGTTAACCCAGTCCGCCCTCGCACCTGTGCCTTCTCCATCCGTGGGGTCAGCCCACCCTAGCTGTCCTGAGCACTGGGACTTCTGCTGTAGCCGTTGTCCCCTGACCAGTATATTGTGGCACTTTGTAGGTGGCACTTACGTTGCATTGGGATGTACAATGTGCCACGGGGGGCAGGTGTCTGGTTAAGATGCCTCTTGGGACACCGAGTTCAAGGGCCCAGCTCTGCTGCTGGTTCCAGCTTCCTGCTAACGCACGCTCTGGGCAGCCAGCTGTGACTTGCCCCAGCCCTGGCCCTTACAGGCATTTGGGGAATAAACCAGCAAATGGAAGCTCTTGGTCTGTCTCCCTCTGTGTCTTTGCCTCTCATGAATAAATTAATTTAAAAAAGCGCACAGGAAGATGAGCGTGGGTTCTGTGCAAAATCCATGCCCGTTTATGTAAGCAGCTTGAGCACCTGCAGACCTTGCTGTCTGCCGTGGGTCCTGGGAACATTCGTTCCCCTGTGGACGCCAAGGGCCAGCCATACTGAGTGAAGGATCAGCTCCCTGGAGGAACCGGAAGCGGCTGCGGAGCGGGCGGTGCCCTGTGCCGAAGCCTGGGGTGGGGGCGGCCATTGCTGTGGTTGACATCACCCAGGGTTTCATGGCAGCGGGCGTGGGGAGGATTGAGTCAGGTGCCAAAGTCCTTGTGATGCTGGCGGTGACAGGTGCAAGGAGGGGGCAGGGGTGGCCCCGGGGGAGCACCGCGGGGTCACACTGAGGGCTGCGGCAGGCAGCAGCCAGCTAGTGTTCCCGCAGGCCTGCAGGGGAACAAGACAGGAGACATGGGGGAAGTGGGGGCGGGGTGGGTAAGGGCCTCTCTTGCAGGAGGTGCCATCACTCACTTCCCCACAGCTGGCTGTGACCACAAGGTGACGTCCACCAGCGGCACCCTCACCAGCCCCAACTGGCCCGACAAGTACCCCAGCAAGAAGGAGTGTACCTGGGCCATCTCCAGCACCCCCGGGCACCGGGTCAAGCTGGTAGGTGCCCGGCCCCCAGCTGCATGGGCACCCCTGCTCCTCCACGTCCTGTGGGTGCCACCTCCAGAGCCCCTGCAGCCTGGGGGCGGGGGGCTGGGCTGAGCCCCGGGACCCGGCACCCAGCTGCTGCCTGGGCACAGCCTCCTCTCCCAGCACTGCCCGTTCCTGGGACCACCTGGGCCCCCGCCCCTGTTCCCAGCCGCGTGTTTAAGCTGCCTGCCCCTCGCGCCCTGCAGACCTTCGTGGAGATGGACATCGAGTCCCAGCCCGAATGCGCCTACGACCACCTGGAGGTGTTTGACGGCCGCGACGCCAAGGCCCCTGTCCTGGGGCGCTTCTGTGGCACCAAGAAGCCCGAGCCCGTCCTGGCCACCGGGAACCGCATGTTCCTGCGCTTCTACTCGGACAACTCGGTCCAGCGCAAGGGCTTCCAGGTGCAGCACTCCACAGGTGGGGCCCCTGCCGCCCTGGGGGGCTGCAGAGCCCGTGTCAGCTCAGACACACGGGGCCCTGCGGCCCAGGAGGCGGGGCATGCCAGTGTGTCCTGGGGACCAGGCCAGGGGCTCCGAGTGGGCGCCGAGGGGTGCGGGGCTGGGGGAGGGTCACAGGTCAGGGTCAGAAAGGACTGGGCGGTGATGGCGATTGCTGGGGGGGGAGCTAGAGCAGCTGGGATGGGGAGGAAGTACCCTACAGCTCCCACTGAAAGTGCAGTTGCCTCCTCATTCTCCAGCCCCCCCCATACTCACTCACTCATTCACTCATTCACTCATTCATTCTGCAGTTATCTAGTAAAATGTGGCAGCTGGCATCCTAAGTGCTGGTCACGAAATGAACCAAGCAGAAAAAAAAAAAAAGGGCCGGTGCTGCAGCTCACTAGGCTAATCCTCCGCCTGCGGCGCCGGCACCCCGGGTTCTAGTCCCGGTTGGGGTGCCGGATTCTGTCCTGGTTGCTCCTCTTCCAGTCCAGCTCTCTGCTGTGGCCGGAGAGTGCAGTGGAGGATGGCCCAAGTCCCTGCACCCGCATGGGAGACCAGGAGAAGCACCTGGCTCCTGGCTTCAGATCAGCGCGGTGCACCGGCCGCGGTGGTCAATGGAGAGTGAACTAACGGAAAAAGGAAGACCTCTCTCTCTGTCTCTCTCTCTCTCACTGTCCACTCTGCCTGTCAAAAAACAAACAAACAAACAAACAAACAAAAAACAAAAAACCAGCCATCAAGGGGCTTCCTCTGCATTCATTGGTTGCCTAAGCTCCTTTTCTTTTTTTTTTTTTTTTTTAAGACTTATTTATTTGAGAAGCAGTCAGAGACAGAGAGGAAGAGAGAGAGAGATCTTCCGTCTACCATTCACTCCCCAAATGGCCACAATGGCCAGAGCTGGGCCGATCCAAAGCCAGGAGCCAGGAGCTTCTTCCGGGTCTCCCACGTGGGTGCAGAGGCCCAAGTACTTGTGCTTTCCCAGGCCATTAATAGGGAGCCGGATCGGAAGTGGAGCAGCCAGACTCAAACTGGCGCCCATATGGGATGCCGGCACTGCAGGCAGAAGCTTAGCCTACTACGCCACAGCGCCGGCCCCTCGGCTGCTGTTGGCTGAACCTCCTCTGTGCCAGAAGACAGGGGCGCAGGGCGGTGACTCTGGCCTGAGCCCCTCCCCCGCTGGGAGCTCACAGCCCAGGAGTCACGCAGGCCCAGGCAGTTGCAACACGAGACAGAACCAGAGCAGGGCGAGAGAAAAGGCGCCGAGGCCTCCTGGACCGGGCAGTGGTGGAGGCATTTCTGGTGGGGGAGGGGCCCTTGCAGAGCCACACCCAGTGCGGCCCAGGGTGTGGCCAGGTGACCAGATGGCGTGAGGGCAGCGGTGGCTGCAGACAAGGGCTGGAGCCGGAGACCTTGAATGCCAGACCCAGGCTGTCGGTTGGGAGCGCCGTCCCTGCACGGCGGGGTACAACATTGAGCCACTGTTTTAAAATGAGCCGTTTTTGTAGAAAACCCAGATGCGCAGCTTTTCGAAAACGAAAGCTCCTGGGCAGTGTTGCTTGCCCTGGAGCCAGTTGGCAGTGTCCCCTTTAGACAGCCTCGGCCCGCAGAGCGCCCCCACCCCCTCCAGTGGTCAGCTCCTGGAGGTGGAGCAACCAGGCACCTGCTCTGGGCCCCGTCCCTGGCCAGGAGGCCTCTGCCGCCAGCCTCCGTCTGGCCACGGGGGTCCAGGGCAGGGGTGGGGAGGGTGCAGCCCCGTGCCTGGCCGGTGGCGGCGCTCAAGGTGTGGTGGCCCATCTTGTCCCCGCAGAGTGTGGGGGCCAGGTGCGGGCAGACGTGAAGACCAAGGACCTGTACTCCCACGCCCAGTTCGGAGACAACAACTACCCCGGGGGCGTGGACTGTGAGTGGGTCATCGTGGCCGAGGAGGGCTACGGCGTGGAGCTCGTGTTCCAGACGTTCGAGGTGGAGGAGGAGAGCGACTGTGGCTACGACTACATGGAGCTCTTCGATGGCTACGACAGCACCGCCCCCAGGCTGGGGCGCTACTGCGGCTCCGGGGTGCGTTCCCAGCCCCACGCCAGAGGCCCAGCACAGATGTGGGCGGCATGCCTGCGCTCCTGGGCAGGCTGGGGGCGGGGGCTCCAGTGGCCAGTCTCCCTGGGCCTTCCCCACCCCCGCAATCTGGGCAGGAGAGATTCCTACAGCCTCAGGGCCAGGCCCTGCCCAGGACCTGTTTGGTGGGGGCTGGGGAGCAGGACAGAGTGCCTGTGGCCCCCTACGCCCCCTTGCCCTGTTCAAGGCCGCTCTCAGAAGGTGCAGCCCGTGGCCCTCCTACACATCGGGAGGGCTAGAACATTCTGTAAAGTGGCAGCCAGTGATGGGGCGGGGTCTGAGCTGAGTCACTGAACCAGGCCCTAACCCACCTCCACCTCCACTCCTACCCCCTCCTCTGTCCATTTCTTCCCCAGGGACTGGGAAGTCCCCCCAAAGCCCTGCTCCTGCTGTCTAGGCAAGCCCTGAGCATTACTTCCTCCCTGTGTAACGGCAGTGGCTAACCCCATGCGTGATTCATTTGCCTCCCCAAACGAGTCTGTGGCTTCTCTCTCCCTCTCTCCCTCTCTCCCTCTCTCCCTCTCTCTCTCTCTCTCTCTCTCTCTCACACACACACACACACTCACATGCTTCCTCTCACATGCTCACATGTACTCTGTCTCACCTCCCTGGCCTTGCTCCAGGGCAGTCTGGGGCCCAGGAGAGGGTTAGGGCTCCCGGGAGCTGCGGCAGCTGCTGGGCCCAGCATTGGCTGAACCTCCCCTTGGGAGCCAAACTCAGGCCTTTGCGTGACTGGCAGCGGCTGGGGAGAGGGAGTGGGAAGCGGGAGGCGAGCACAGCCCCTCTGCCTGCTGGCTTCCAAGCCAGCACGCCCTCCCCACTCTGCCCTCCATCAGAGCCGCACACCCAGCCAGGTGTCCCCAGGTGGCTTCTTCCCCTCCCCCCAGACAGGAGCCCCATCCAGGCACAGTAACTAAAAATGCCCCCCAGGGGCTCAGAAACCTTTTTCTTTCATGCTGGAGGACCAGGGTTCTCTGCAGGCCGCTGTACCCTGAGTGGGCGGGAGGGGGCGCTACCTGGAGCGGACTGTGAAGCCAGATCTGCAGAGACTGACCGTGAACTTGAGACAGACTCCTCCACCCCATGTTCCTTCCACACCCCAGGCACCCCATTCGGCTCCCACCAAGAAGCTCTGCTTACAGGGACTGAGGGCAGTGGGGAGGGTCGGGGGGCCCCTGCCTCCCTCACACCCCTCTCGCTTCTCCACCAGCCCCCCGAGGAGGTCTACTCGGCTGGAGACTCCGTCCTGGTGAGGTTCCACTCGGATGACACCATCACCAAAAAAGGCTTCCACCTGCGCTACACCAGCACCAAGTTCCAGGACACACTCCACAGCAGGAAGTGACGGCTGCTGCCCTCGGTCAGCCAGGCCGGACAGTGCAGGGTCGGGGTGAGCGAAGGCGCCAGGACCTGCAGGTGCTGCCGTCCCCGGAGGTGGGGGGACTGGACTCCTTCATCAGCGATCCTCACAGCCAGAGCGAGGGGGCAGGGCCAGGGAGCCAGCTCGCTCCCTGAGACACTTGAAGTGACCGTCCCTCCCCGGGAGGCCCCGCCGGGCCCAGGGGCTGTCCCGTAGCGCCTGCCGCCTCCCGCCCAGCTCTGCTCGCTGCGTTGTGTACAGCCGGCGGCGGCGGTGTCTGCATTGTAACGTGCGTCTCTCACCCTCCTCCAGCCTCCACTGGGCACACGTGTCCGTGCCTGTCCCCCAGGGGCCACAGTGGGGGCGGGGAGTGGCAGGAGAAACAAGACAAGGGCGTCTCTCGGGCCCAGTGGCTGGTCAGTCACACCGGGGGTACCCCGGCCAATAAACAGAAAGTGTTACAGCCAACCTCCCGTGGCCTGCCGGATGCTGAGTGGGGGTGTGGGAGTGTGGGGGCTGGGGGGAGGGTGTGTGTCCCGGTGCAGATGTGCGGGCTGGCTGCGGCTGGGGCCGGCGTGCAGCCAGCACACCTGGCCTTGCTGGCCACCCTTCCCTCTTGCCTTTCCAGGTCCCTGGAGGGTGTGATTTCACACTCGGGCACACACACAAACACACTCACTCTCGCACAGGCGCCCGGCACACTGCAGTCAGCAGGCTGGCTGCTGCCCATGGCCCTCCCACATATTCTATAAAGAGGCTGTTGGGTGGGGAGGGAGGAGGGATGTAAAAGGGGCTCGCGCTGTGTGTCCATCTGGGTGGAAGGAGGGGGGGCGCTGCAGGGTGTTGGCAGCGGGAGCAGAGTGAGGGGGGGACCCAGCAGGAGCCAGAAAAGCCTCGGTAGCTGGGTCGGGCCCCCAGGCCTGCCTGTCGCATGGCCACACACGAAGCACTGGCCCCTGCAGGTCCCCTTCTTGTGCAGGCAAGAGCCAGACACTTGTCAGGCAGCCACTGAGCAAACATTCCAGCTCGGGTCCCTCTCCCCAGGCGACCCCAGGCTGCGTCTGGTCCAGCCGCCACTTTCCTCCCTCCCCTGCCAACGGGGAGGCCCAGGCCTCTGCCGTCCCGAGGCCAGGAGAGGAGAGAAAACAGGCCTTCCAGAGAGACCTCCTGCTGGCTCTGTGTGGATCTCCCGGGGGAAGAGACCCCTAGAGAGGAGCCCGCTGTTGCGTCTGGGCTGGCAGCTGCCACACTCTGGAGAGGCCGATGCCTGGGCTCTCAGTGGACTGTGGGCCTCGTGCTGGCCCCAGTGCGTACCAGATGCTGTCAGTCTGGACCCAGTGTTGGGGGGGACCCCTGGGCAGCCGTGTGGCACGTGGACCTTGTAGGCGGAAAGCCGTGGATCCAGACATGCCACTCATATCCCCCACGTGCTCAGCACCCTCTTCCAGGAATGCAGGCTGCAGCTCTGTCCCGCAGGCCTGATGACGGGGCAGGGAGCGGGAGAGACCCAGAGGGCTACTGCTATGGCCCCGTGGAGTCCCAGGCTGTGAGGTCACGGCCACCCCTCCTGGCTTCCTTCTCTGGTGGGGATGCTCGGGATAGCATGATGGGCCAGCAACAGAATGGAAAGACCCCTTGCCCCGTCCCCCAGTGGTTGGAGCCACCTGGGCGCCTCGCCCACACCTGGGCATACCCACTTATGTAGGCGAGAATTCACAGCAGAATCTCTCTCAGTGGCCACAGTTATGTTGGGAGCTCCAAGGACTACAGACCTAGCTCCTATGCCCCCATGCCCAGAGGAGCAGCGGGCAGCCCCCAGCGTGGATGATGGACAGGTGGAGGAGGACAAGCGGGGGTCTCCCTCCTTGGGGCGGGGGAGGCTGCTCAGAGCTGGCTGAGACCATGTCAGGAGTCAGTAGGTTAACATACAGGGGCAGGCCGCTGACGGTTTAGACACTGGTGAAGATGCTCGTGTCATGTATTGGAACATCTGGGTTCTAGTCCTGGTTCCAGCTCCTCGTTCCAGCTGTCTGCTAATGAGCCCCCTGGGAGGCCACAGGTGGCGACTCAAGTCGTTGGGTCTTTGCCAGCCAATGTGGGAGACCCAAGATGGGCTCCTGGCTCCCAGCTGGGACCCAGCCCAGCCCTGGCTGTTGTAGGCATTATGGGAGTGAACCAGCGGAGGGGAGATGTCTGTCTGTCTCTCGGTTTCTCTGGCCCAGGCCACCCTCACCTTCCGGCTGCTCCTGGGGTCTAGATGAGAGCGGCTTCAGCAGCTGCCCATAGCTGGGTGATGGGGGGTCGGGGAGCCCCCTGGCTCTCCAGCTGGCTCCAAGCCCTGGGGGTCTCATTGGGACAGGGAGAGACGGGCCAGGGTAGAGATTAGCATAGCTCCCAGTTTGTACCTCCCTCTAGGGCGGCAGGAGCCTGGCAGTCAGGAGCTGTTGGCCAGCTGTCCCCTCCCCGGGCCTCTGCTCCCCCAAACCAGTGACCTGTCCCTCAGAGCCAGGAGAAAGCCCGGTCCAGCCTCCAAGGCAGAGGTGTGGGGTGCTCCACCCCTCACTCTCCTTTTCCCTCTTCCTGCCCCTCCCCTCGGCCGCACACCCTTCTCAGTAGTATGAAGGTCACAGGCTGGAGAGCACACGTGGCTCTACGTCTGGTGGCTGTGTGACCCTGGGTGAGTCACTTCCCCTCTCTGTGCCTAGATATTGACACTACCACCATCCTCATGGTCAAGGGTGAGACGGCCTTTGGAGTGAGCTGTCACTGCACCGTCACCGGGAGCGCACCTGCTGTTCCTTTCCTGGTCCAGACAAGCCTCTCGTTTCTGACCGCTTTGTTCCCGTGCTCCAAGGGAACCTCTGGGTGCAGCGTTTCCCGTCAGGCGTTGGGAGCTCAGGGCGCAGCCACCGTTGCTGGAGGGGGCAGTGCTAATGCACAGCCGGGAGGAGCTTTGTGCGGGCAGCAGGGGGTGTTTTTCTGGCCAGCTGGTGGCCTCCCTGGGCATCTCCCAAATCACACCCTGTGCTCAACTGTCCCCACGCACAGGCTGATTCTGGAATCCGTGAAAGATTCGCTGCTCCAGTTTGCAAAAATAGTAGTGCCTGATTGGGGGAGTTGGGGAGAGGGCAGCCAGATGTTTCCCCCAGAGAACCTCCAGGCCCCCGACCCAGCCTCCTGCCAACCAGAGCTGCCACTTCTCCTGCCGCAGCCTGCCCCGCCCCCGCCCCCGCCCCCACCCCGGCGACATCTGGTCCCGATCTCCGGCAGACGCTGTGGCCACGCGGCTTTCCCACCAATCACCTCCTGGCTCAGCTTCCCGAGGGCCTCCATCCCTTTCTGTGGGTGAAACGGTGAGGGGCCTCGGTGTTGGAGGGGGCAGGGACTCATCCACCCAGGACTGTAGGGAGAATGGCTGGCCCGGGAGGAAAGGTGGGAACAGAGGTGCGGAGGAGAGTGTGTGTGTCGGGCAGAGGCGGGTGGAGGGCGGGCCTGTACCCCAGGGCCTCCCATTCCCTCGCTGCCCACACAGGAGATGGAGCTAACTCAGGGAGCCTCTGCTGCATGGAAGTCTGCAGCCCACCCTTGTCCTGCCCCTTGGAGCTGCCTGTGGGCTTCTGACCCAGCCCACGGAGGGCACGCATGTGCAGGTGTGCACACACTCCTCTCCTTCCTCCGGTCACATTAGGCTCAGGCTGGGGAGCGCCCCAGGGCAGGCTCGGCGTCCACGCTGACCCAGCTCTGGCTGACGGGTGCTCCGAGCAGCCCGGTGCTGGCCGTGTGCCGGGGGCAGCCATCTGGACAGAGGACGGGGAACAGGCTCTCTGGAGGAGGCTGCACAGGGCCCCCAACCCCGGCCCTGCCTCCATCCGATGCCTCTGTCTCCCACGCAGAGGGCTCAGAACCAGTTTTTCTTACCAAGGAACCCAAAAGGCGCACCAAGGAAGACTGAGATCAGCCCCTCTTTGCTCTGCGGGAGGCAGCGTCCTGGGCAGGTCTGCTCAGACACAGGAGGGGGGACCCTGCGGTCACCCTGACCTTGGACTTCCTGACGTCCAGGGCTCCTACCGCGCCTATGAAACCAGACCCCACGGCACTGATGACTCCACAGCACCCCCTAGCGGTATCTGGACCCAGCCCAGCATTCGCGGGTGGTGGAGGAGGCCCTGGAAGGCACAGTGTCCGGACAGGGCTTAGTCCCAGGTGGCCCCGGCACACCCGCAGGCAAACAGACGGGGTGGAAGGTGGGAAGGCCCTGGTTTCTGGGTCAGAGCCTGGGCACGGCCGCCTACGGACTATAAGCTGCAGACTGTAAGCTACCCGTTCATCCCTTTGTGCCTCGCTCTGTTCACCCGCTAAGTGGGACGACACGGCCCAGGCTAAAGGGGCTGACGTGCTGCAGGCACCGGCCTGCTGGCTGGCGCACAGTAGGTCCTCGGAAGTGGCCATGTGCCCTCTAGCTCCTTCCTGTGCCCAGCGAAGGATGACACAACGCTGGCCCTGAGTCAGCCAGCGGAGGTGGCGGCCGGGTGCCTCTGACTGTTCTAGAACACTCCCTCTCCCGCAGAGGCTGCTGGAATATAATGACAGACGCAGAGGTGACTCAGACCTGGCGGGGGAGGGGGTGGCACCTGTGGCTCCCAGGGAAGAGAAGTTCAGGGCCATCAGGGAACCTCTCCGAGGAGGCCTCAGTTTCCCCAGACGGGAAGCACGGGGTGGGAATGAATGACCTCCAAAGTCCCTACCGAGCCGGAGGCATGGCTCTGCACTCGCAGTGGGATCTGGGTGCACCCCTGCAGAGGCTTCAGGCGGCCCGACCCGGGGCCCACCCCCACCCCAGCTCCTCTGTGGACGGCGCAGCTGCCCACCTCCGTCCTAGCCTCCCAGAGCCCAGAGCGCGGCTGTGTTTCCAGCATTTGTCAGGGGGATGGGCTCAGGGGGTGGCGCCTCCAGGCCCGGGGTTCACGCGCCCCATGAGAGACCCAGGGGCTGTGCGTCCAGGAAGTGAGCGCTGGCACTGGGGTCTTAGCCTTCCCAGCCTTCAGAGCCCCAGAAGTCCCCACGGCCCAGCCGCCGCCCAGTCTGTGCAGCCCAAGTGGACCGAGGCAGGCGGGCCCCTCTGGCCGAGGTGGTTTTATTGGTGCACACGGCAAGCACAGCATAGGCGGGCGGGCCCAGCCCCAGGAGGACGCCGGGCCAGAGAGGGCGGTGGGCCACCCCACAGCGACATGGGGACGGGAAGAGGGCCTGGGGCCCTGTCCTCTCCTGCTCCACGATTCAGACCTCCCGACCCACCCCCAGGAGACAGCTGACTGCACCGCTCCCTGGCCACAGGAGAGGTGAGCCGTGGCCCCCCACCCTCCGCGGCACAGCCTCGCTGGCCCCTTCCGCCCTCCACCCCAGAAAGTCACCCGGTGGGGAGCGCTTTCTCTTCCATGAGCCGCTCCCGGGTCTCTCCGGTGCTTTGCTGAGTCTGCCCTTGCAAGCGGTGCAGCAGTAGGCAGTAGGTGAACACGCAGGCAGGGACTTCACAAGGACTCCCCAGGGAGGGACCCCCCACACACAGCCAGCAGGGCGGCAGGGGTGGCGGCGGGCGGAGGGGGCGGGGCGCAGAGCGGCATCCACAGTCCGGATCACACACGGGCACAGTCACAGCGCCGTGGCAGAGCTAGCGAGTCCAGTGCACAGCCGGGTGGGGTGCCAGGCCTCTTCAGAAGCGCCCCCCCCCAGTCCTCCACGTCCACGGTGGGCCACATCAGGGCACGAGGTGGCCCACTCCTGGCTGAGGAAGGGGTCTCTGGGTCTCAGGGGTCTCCTGCCCCCTCCTCGACCCCCCAGTGGCTGCTGTTCTAGACCCCCCACCCAGTGCTTCCTGTGCCAGGAGAGGTACACTGGAGTAGGTGTCGGCTCCAGGGAGAAGGGGGAAAATCCCACCAGCCTGGAGCCCCCAAAGCCGAGCGAACAAAGAGGGCTCCTTCCCAGAGAGCAGGAGGAGCGCCCACGTGGGCAGGGGGGTGAAGGCAGCGCAGCTCCCCCATGCAGGAAGAGGGTCTGGGGGCAGGGAGCAGCCAGGGCATGACGCTGGAGCAGGAGACTATTTATATAGAGGGCAGGGGTCTAGGCCCTCTGGGGGAAGCCCCCACGGCCCAGCTGTCCAGGAGGGGACGTTCTGGGGTGGCCCTGAGTGGGGTGGGGCTGAGGAAGGCCATCTGTGTCTCCCTTTGCATGGCCTTTGGCCCGGAGACGCTTCCTGGGAGAGCAAGGGAGGCAGCCAGGGCCTCTGGGAGACCGCAGGGAACCACAGGACAGGGTACCCAGAGGCAGGGAGAGTGCTCCAGAATCCCAGCCCACAGAGGCTAAGAAGCCCCCCAAGTCCGCTGGGCCTCGGCTGGGCGCCACTCATCAAGGGGACACCACCGTCTGTTGCCTTCAATGCCAGGGGGTGGGAGACGGGGCAAGACAGGTAGAGTGCAGGGAGTGGACCAAGGGGGGCAGGGGAGAGAAAGCCAGTTCCCTGAAGCTCTGCCACTCATCTCCAGCCTTCCCGCCCTCTCTCCCCAGCCCCCAGCCCCGAGGAGGGGGGTCCCTAGCGGCCCACGCTGATGTTGCAGGTCTTGCAGCTGGGGTCTTTCTTGGCATCAGCTGTGGACAGGCTCATGAGCTGGTGCCCGCTGATCTCCCCCAGGGTGCCCAGGGACAGGTCGACGGGCTCCGTGTAGATTATCTCCAGGATGAGGTCTTGGGCGTGGCGGAAGACCAGCTCCCCGTCTTCAACGCTGCAGGTCAGGAACTTGTTGCAGGCAATGTCCAGGAGGGGCAGGCGGTCGCGGCAGAAGCGGTCGCCCAGGGAGCCCTTGGGCGCCAACACCAGGATGGCATAGTGGTAGGCCGTGTACATACAGTAGAAGTCCGCAAAGTAGAGGTTGGTGCTGGGGTTGAAGAGACGCTGGGCGGGGATCTGGAAGCGCCAGCGGCCGTAGGGGGAGTCCTGCGGGGGCTGGCCGGTGTTGAACTCGGTGTTGCAGCTGAAGAACACGCCGTGCAGCATGCCGCTCGTGGGGGAGCCGTGGCTGCCGCTGTTGTCTTTTAGGTAAGGCTGCAGCATGTTCCCGCAGTGGGTCCTGCCGAGCCCCGGGGGAGACGCACAGCGGGGGGAGGGGGGAGGGAGAGGAGAGGCCTCTGGTTAGCCGGGGCTGCTGCACCTGGTCAGGAGGCAGCGAGCCAGCCCCGTCGCCCACCAGCCGGCTGCCTCCAGCAGTCACAAATAGAGTGTTCCAGAATGGAAGAGCGGGGACGGGCTCACCCAGCCCACTCCTGCACAGAGAAGAGATCTGGGCTTGTTGCCCCCAGCTGGAAGCCCCCCGGAGGGGGCTGGCGTGATCAGCAAGGCTCTCACAGTCAGGTCTTTCCGGCTCCCTGTCGCTCACCTGTTACCTCCCTCCGGGTAACAGCCTGCAGTCCCCCGGGGATCTTGCCTCTACCTGGCTTGCCCGTCCCCCCTCCATCCTCCTTTAAGCTGGGCAGAGGGATCTGCTCTTCTCTGAACCCCCCTGCAGAACCTCAGGAACGTGCATTTGACAAATACTTGCTGGCCTACTGTGCGCAGGGTGCAAATTTGCTCTGCAATCACACAGAGGATTGCAGCAAATCTTCTAGACTCTCCCAGCCAGACTTGAGGTTCCCTTTAGCGTGCACGGCGCCTCCAGCCGTAATATCTGGAAGCAAGATGTCACGGGGGCTCCCCGGTTCTCTTTCTTGCTGATAGAGGGACCCCACAATTAAACACTGCCTCTCAGTAACACACACAGACTTCCGAGGGCCTCCCTGCCCTGCGGAGAGCTGAGAACACCCACGCCCGCTGGCTGCCATGATGCACACAGTGCCAGCGGCTTGCCCTGGCCTCGTTGGCGGGAGGTGGGGGGTGGACATCCTGGTCTCGCCTCACCCTTGCCCGGTCCTGGCTGCCCCTGGCTGGATGGGACAGCCCCATATTCTCCCTGGCCTCAGCTCCTCACCCAAGGGCAGGGGGGTTGGCGCAGACCATGAACTTTCGTGCATTTTTGGATGGCAGAGCCCTCCTCTTTCTCCCCCAGAAAAAAAAAAGCACACATGCAAAGGAGTTTGCGGCTGCTCTGGACGACAGGCAGGGGTCCCCCAAGCCCACCTTCGGAGTCCTCTCAACCGCCAATCCAAGGGGCTCCCTAGGATGCCTCTCTGGGGCCTCCAGGCTCCCCAGCACCCAGTTTGCAAACCACCAGGCCTGATGCTCCCTAGAAGCTTCCATGTCCCCCCCCCAGGGGGGCTACAGGGCCTGAACTGGCTGACCCGTGGTGCTTGAGCCCGGTGGGGGCTCGCTCCCCCAGGCTTGTTGGCATGGTGCTCCACTAGGGGGCGCTGTCCCCAGGGCGCTCGACCTGCCTGGCCTGAGCCCAGTCCCAAAGGGGTGGTTGATCCAGAGCCAGTCCGGCCTCGGGAGGGCTCGGGGCCCCTGAGCCAGCCAGGGCAGGAGCAGGTGCTCCAGGGAGGCGCGTACCTGGCGTGCTGGAAGTACTCCTTGTGATGGTTGCGGTAGAAGACGGAGAAGCGCAGCATGCGGCCGGCGATCTGCTCAGCCTTCTCCTGCAGCTGCGCCAGGTGCTCCTTGGCGTAATCTGCAAGCGCCCAGGTAGAGTGAGGGCTCGCAGCCCCCGGCGCGGCCCACACACCCACACTCACCCCACCCTCCAGCGGCAGAGGGGACCTGACAGTCCCAGCCGCGCCCCGGACTCAGATGGGGACCGGCGTGCTGGCCGCTCTCGTCACCTCTGCACCTGCGCTGCCAGAGACGAAAACCTCTCTGCACCGGGGGACTGCCTGCCATCCCAGGCCACCCTCGTGCACAAAGGGAAATGAAGGTCGGGAGAGGGAGAGGACACGAGGGGCTTCCAGGAGAGCTCTCTTGAGTCCGGCAGATGGGAGCAGGCTGCCCACGCCGCCCACGTGGAAACCGGCTGTCGTGACGGGCGGGGGCTCCGGTAGAGTCTGGGCAGAATGGAGCCTGGGCCCCACACCTGGTCTAGACAGACTCGGGGCTGGGTCAAGGGCTCTGTGTCTCCCATCTCCGGAGAAGCAGGGAGGGCCGGCCACAGCACAGCCGCTGGGGGAATCGGCGCCTTCCTCCTGGCTGCTGTGTGGCTGGCCGGGGTGCTTGGTTGGGCCAGCGGTGTGTGGACAGCTCCCCGGTTTGCGGGTGAACCAGAGCGGGGACACCTGCAGGCAGCTGGACAGAAGCGGCCCTTGGAAGACAGTGGGGCAGCTCAAGGAGAGCCGGCACGTGCCTTGGCGCAGCCTCAGGGGCTCGGGGCTGGGCGTGTTCCCTGCTCCTTCCTCGTGACGCGCAGGGTTCTGGAGCAGTTCCCACTGTGGACGCGGGAAGAATGGAGCACTGGGGGCGGGGCCGGGGGCGGAGCAGATCCTGAGACATCAGTGACGCAGCTTGCAGAGCCCAGGGTTTGCTCACGCAGGCGTCTGCACGTCCAGCTGTGTTCAGAGAGCCCGGGGTGGGGGTGGGGGGAGTGTCGCCACTGCGTAGGGACAGTTTCCCAGGCCAGGGGCGCAAGCTCAGTGCAAGTGCAGTGGGATTGGCCCACCAAGAGCCCACGGATGAAGGACAGACTGACAAGGCGTGGTCTGCCTGGACCACTCTCCAGCATGCAAGCAACAAGCCGGGCCCCAGAGGACAGATGCGGCCGGACCCCACTCACAAGAGGCCTCTAGGGCGGCCGGGTTTGCGAGGTTGGAAGGGGAATGGTGAATGCTAAGGGCAGGGGGAGGGGGAATCAGGGGCTTGTGTAACAGGGGAGAGGGGGTGTAGAGCCTCAGTGTGGCAAGATGAGGTTCTGGGGGCTGGTGCTCTCACAACCATGCGGCTGTACTCAACACCGCCGAGCCCTACACTTAGAAAGGGTTCCCATGCTGGATTTTAAAGTTGGGAGTACTCTGTTGCAATTGCACAAATATGCAGCGGGCCAAGCCAGGGCAGCAACTCCGCCCCCTCGTGGGAGGGGCTTGCCGGTACACTTGCTGTGCCTGCTCTGCTGTTGGCTTTAGAGAAAAGGCCACCTCATGCACGCGTGTCTCCCCGGTGGCCTCCGCCTGCTGCCCAGTGGCCACAGCGTGGGCACGATTAAGAGCAAGCCCCGCGCGTGACCACCACCAAGCCCAGTGTGCCGAGGTGGCAAGGGCAGGGCCTCACCCCCAGTGCAAAACTCCACCGTCTCGCTCCAGCCGGACACCAGGTACTCGCCGTCGCTCTGTTTCACCGCCGTCTGCACGGCCACGCTGTACTCCGTGCGGGGGCTCAGGAACCAGTGGCCTCTCACTGTCATGGGCAGTGGCACCGCCTTGGCCACAAGCTTGGTGGGGACATCCTGCAAAGCGGGGTACGGGTGGGAAGTCAAGTCACACCTGGGGATCACGCCCCATCTCGATGCTCCCTCCAGGTCCCCACTCCCCTGAGCCCCTCTTATCCTCCCTTGAGGAAGATCTGCATCTCAGGGACCCACGGGCTTCCCGCAAGTGGTGGCTTGGGGTGGCCAGACAGCGGGTGCCCCTCCACTAGCCTCCCCCCCCATGCCCCGTTCTCTTGGGAACCGAGCGAGGGGCCGCTGGTGGGGAGGCAGCAAATCTTGGTTTCTGCGGAGACTTCGAGAGCTCGGCACACTGCAGCGCCGTCGCCACGGCAACAGCAAATGCTGAGAAGCCAGGGAGGAAGGGAAAATATGCCTTATTCTTCAGGGGGAGGGTTCAGGGGGCGGCATCGCACATTCGTGTCACCGTGGCAACTGGCCTGCCAAAAGACACCCAGATCGGGAGAGCCACATCCAGGGAGAGTAACCCACGCTGGGGCTGCGGTCCTGGGAGCCAGCCTCTTCCCGCCTCGCCCCTGCCTCCCCGCCAGCTGCGGACGCCCCTGGAGCCTTTCTCCCAGCCACCGGGCACCCCAGTTTTAGACCCAGGAGAGGGCACCGTGGAGCACCCCCTCGCCTTCCTCTTCCACACCCGGCTAGGAGGTGGGCAAGGGCCAGGGAGAGGGAGACGGGTCCAGGGTGCTTGGAGTGCCTGGCCAAAGGGTGCAGCCCTGCCCGAGGCCACACGGCTCCCCAGGCAATGTCACAGCCTGCGACGTCACCACGACCCAGGCTCTCCGTCTGTCTGAGCACCCAGTTGTGGCGCTCGTTCTGTGCTAGGCATTGTGCCAAACGCCACGCAAACGTTACTCACTCGGTCCCCAGTGTGTCATGATTCCCCTGTCGCCCACCAGCGAGGGGGCTCACGCTCTCAGAGGGGTCAGACCCCTTCCCCGAGCTGACACAGTGGGAGAGGTCTAGATTCCAGCCAACCCCGAGTCCAGACCCGTCCCCTTCACCTGCCCCTTCCAGGACGGGAGCAGGGCGGGGGGCGGGTGCTGGGGAGCGGCGCTTGGTGCCCTCTCTGCTCACCCGGTGCTTGAACTTGTTGGAGTTTTTATTCTCCTTTTTGTTGAGGTCGATGAAGTAGTGGGTGACCCTCTCCAGGTCGCTGTCCCCCATGGCCCAGGAGATGCGGAAGGAGTCACAGGTGATGTTGTTGATCTCGATGCTGTGAGGGGTGGACAGCAGCTCCATGCTCCCCCTCTGAATCGGCCCCTGCAAGGATCAGGTGGGGAAGGATTCGTACCCTGTCCTGCTCCCGACATCCCTTGCAAGGTGGAACCTTGAAGACCCCTTCAGGTGCACCTGTCTCATCAACTTGACAGGGACGAGCACCCCGGAGGGACCCGGGCTGGGACGCTGTGTCCACGGGCGGGGGACTCTGGTCTGCAGCGCACATGACACCTGACAGGTGGCCGAGGCAGTGGGAACGCTGCATGAGCTGGGCGGGGACAGATTTGCAGCAGATGGAGCCGAGGAGGGTGGGGGCCTTCAGCCAGCAGGCGTGAAAAGAGAAAGGGGTGGGGGTGGAGCGTGCGGGTGGGAGGCAGAGAGGCAGGAAGCACCTGCGGAGGGGAGGAGCTGGCACGCAGAGGGGAGGCAGGTGGCACGCAGTGGCAGCCAGGAGTCCCTGGAAGCCAAGACCCTTGGGATGAGGCCCCGAGGGCCCCCCCACCTGGGGCGGGGAGGTGACTCAGCAAAGTTCGCCATCCTATGGGACCAGGGCCAGGTAGGCTCACATGGATTCGTTCGAGGTGGGAGGGGGCAGCTCGGGCCTCCGCCCCCTTCAAGCTTTTTTTTTCAATGCTTGGTTGGGTTGACTTGACTCTTAAATAATCAGTTTTAACACTGACAGCTAATGGGGCCAACCACACGCTCATAATTCCACAAACACTGTCTCAGGCAAGCCTCTCGGTAGGTATGGACTATTATTACCCCATTCTACTGATGAGGTAACTGAGGCTGGGCAATGCTAGCATGGCCAGGACCACACAGCCAGCAAATGATGTGAACTCTGGAGTCTCAGGACTGTGCAGATGATGCTGCATCCCCGTGTGTGTGTGTGTGTGTGTGTGTGTAACAGGCACAGCGCAGGCAGCTAGCATGTGCAGGCAGACCCATATGGGGTTTCCACTGTTTATTTCTCCTCCTTCCCTTCCTTTCCTTTCAAGGAACTGCATTTTCTCATGCCTCCCTCTCCCACTCCTTCGCTCCTACCCTTACATCTGGCGCTTTTTAGGGACTAAGGGACCAAGGCACCACCCCTTCACTTGTGCTCTTGTTAAGGGCTGGCTCTGGCCGCGACTTTGACCTGCCTCACTTGAGATCCAGGACCCGGCGGAGCAGAGAGTGTGGACAGGAGGACACGAGGCAGATGGGAGCTCCCCTAGGGCATGTGGACGTGCACTTGCCCCACTCCTTCCTCAAGCCCAGCCCCCAGTATGTCGCAGTGTCACCTCCTGTCCTCTCTTCCCTTCTTTATCTTCTCCCCTTGCCCAGGAGCTTGGGGTGGGGGGAGCACCCTGTGCCTGCAAAAGCAGGTACTTTTATTAATAGCTTCTAGAAGATCCAACCCACACTCTCCCATCAATTAAGCCTGCTGCGGTGCCTGACACCTCTACATCACCCCGTGGGCTGCCTGGGTGGCAGGTACAGGGTGAAGGCGCTGGGTGACAGTCCTTACCTGCCCCAGGTGTCACTCAAGTCCCATTTCATCTTTGCCTCCCACCTGGAGCCAAATGCCAGGGGCTTTGTGCAGGGGGAAATCCTATGTTCAATAAGCATAGGGATGCTCCCGGGTCCAGCCCAAACTCAAACAGACCGGGCTGGGTATGTGGGAACGATCCTGTGATAACTACCCCATTTGTAATCCACAGGGACTGGTGGGGAGCAACTGGGAGTTTCCATCCCGGGAGACACACGTGCGCCGCTCATATGCCCACACTCACACAGCACCATCAGCACCCACACCCAGGAGACCTGAGCCACCTCCCCCGCTCCAGGAGATGTTGTCTACGCCTGCGCCTGGGGCAGGGACCTGTTCTTGCCTGGATACCTCCTCTCCTGAGTCCTCCCAGAGGCGGGGGCAGCCGCGCCTGGGGCTAAGACCCTGGGCGGCAGGCTGCTCAGCTCTTCCTCGCCACAGTTCTGGGAGAGTGACACTGAGAGCAGAAAGCCAGGGTGGGCGTGACCCCTGGTGCTCCACGCCCAGGGTGTGAGGGACAGGTTGAGGCAGCACCCGGAAAAAAAAAGCGCCCACGCTCCCGTGTGAATTCACCCCGAGGCAGGCGTGCGCACACACGCAGGCAGCAGGCAGCATGCACCTGTACACACGGAGGGCGCCCAGCCCCTCCGACGTCCTCACTCCCACACACTCACCACGCACTCAGGCCCCTTCTGCCACCGTCCACGGTCTACGAATGCCGCCACGGTTGCCCCTCCGCGGGCTGTCACCTCCACACAGACGCACACATGTTCTTGTCCACGGGCTCAGGCACACACACAAGCACGCACCCCTCCTTCTAAGCCATATTTGGGGAAAAGAGGAAGCCACAGGCACCAACATGTATGTGCGCCACCTCCACAAGAAGCACACAGCCCACACGCCTGCCTGCGCACACATGTTCGTCCCCACACGCGTCAGCTCCGCCTGCATTCTGGTTCTGTGCCCCCTCTCTTTCTCTCTCCCTCTCTCTCTCTCTCCTTCAGGCTCAGAGACACACACTTTGAAAATGTGGCTACACTCTGCCAGCCCCGATCTTTCCCGTGCCAACAGGTTTGCGCACCTGCCTCAGGCCGTGGCAGCTGCCAGCACTCCCACCGGCCCACCCCATCCTGCTTGGGAGTTGCACCTCGGCACACAGAGCCCCCCACGGCACGGACTCCCCCACGCACACCACGAGCGGTGCCCCCACCCATGGATACCCATAGACTCCACCCACACACATGCATGTACTTCATGTGTGCAAGCAATATGTGATCCCTAACATGTCCAAACCTGCACAGGAGCCCGACTGCCTGCAGACAGCCTTGCGGACTCCAGCTAGTGCTCCTTCCCTGGGCTTGTCTGGAAGAGCCCTGGGCAATGCTGGAGGGAACGCTCCCCCAGGCCGCTGTCCCTGTTGGCGTAGCTGACTGCAGCACAGTGGTCACGGGGTAACTGTGGGGCCCTGGAGACTGGATCCAACTGGGAAGCTCTTTGCCAAGTGCCTGGGGGTGGGGGGTGGGGGGAGGGACAAGGGCGCTGGGCCCAGCCATCCAGGCAGGCACCCCGGGCAGTGCCTCTCGGGACAGACAGGGGATGGGGAGGGCACTCACCAGTGTCCACGGGACTCTGCAGACGAAGACGTGGCTGGGAGGGAGAGGCGAGACCTCTGCGTGGATGAGCTCCCCGGGTGCGGGGACAGCGCGGACGCCTGGGTCACGGGCAGCGACGCCCGCTCGCTCCTCTCCCTGCTGCCGCCAAGGAGGCAGCTTCCATGCCCCGCAGGCAGGCAGCTGTGGTGGGGCTCGCAGCTCGCAGCTCGCGCTGCTGCCTCCCTGCCTCCCTCCGGTGAGACGACGATCCCAGCCGAGCACAGGCAGAGAGGCGAGAGCGAAATCAAAGCGGCGTGGAGGAGAGGCAGAGAGGGCGAGAGAGAACGGGAGAGCCAGTCAAATCTGGCTCCACCAATGGGATCCTCGGCTGCGCTGCGTCAGGTGATAATCAGCCAGCTTAGTCCCTGCTCGCCTGCTGGGTGGGAGGGGAAAGGGCAGAGGGTCTCCCGGGGAGCTACACCGACGTCCTTGGAGATCGCGCGGCAGCTGCTGCCACTTCTCCCCCATTCTTCCCGGACAAGCGGTGCCCCCAGAAGTCCCTTCAACACACCCCCTCCTTGGAAACCTCCCGACTTCGACTTCAGTGCAGCCCCTAAACTTTAGGATGCTGGGAGAGGGGCGGAGCTTAGTCCAAGGGCCTGGGCCCCCAAACAAGCGGGGGCGGGCAGGAAGACAGTGTAGGGGAAAGGTCTAGATGGGTACCTGAGTCAGTGGACCCCATCCTCAGCAGAGGCTTCCATGGGTCCGTGGCTCCATTTTCTTACCAACTCTACCAAGAGATGTTGGCCAATAATCTACCTTAGTACATGGCTGGGAGAAGGCAGAAGGGGGAGCCTGCCGAGCCCCCCACGCACTCGGAGGAAACCAGTCCTGAGACTGTCCTAGTACCAGCAGCAAGTGAGGGTCCCACAGGGGCCACTGGGATGATCCAGCAGAGGGTTTGTGGGGGGCGGGTGCAGGGCGCCCGGAGGCTGTGAACCCTCCTGCCCCATCACTTTCTGGCTGCCTGACCTTGGACGAGTGACTCAGCCCCTTGGGGCTTCATCTGGGTCCCTCATCTGTCAAATGGGATAACACCGGCTTATTGTCCCTGTGGAATGCCATCATTATGTAACCCACTTAGCTCTGGGCTTGGCTCAGAGGCAGTGCCCGGCGCCTGTCTGAGCTTTGTCATTGTCACAGTGACAGCGTCTGCCTCTGGGGAGCCCACACAAGTCTTCGGTGGAAACGATGGATGGGTCGGTGACATGGTGACAGAGCAAGGGGTCTTCAAAAAGTTCATGGAACACGTGTGTGTTGGGAAAAGCCATGCATGACATGTTTTCATTCTATTCCCCACCACCACCAACTTTCAAAGTCCCCACATGCAGTTACATTTCAGGGTACCAGTGAGGGTTCGGAGAGGAAGTGACAGCTCCAGCGCACAGAAACACAGGCAGCGTTCATGGTTGGGGACGGGAAGGGCGGGGGGTGCTGTAGGCTCTGGCAGCCAAGGTCAGGGGTGTGACAGTCACAGGGGAGGAGTTCGGAGAATGCAACAAGCAGAAGGCACGCCTGCCTGAAACCAGTCTGGTCAGATCCTGAACCACAGGATGCGGCTCCCTCCCCCATCCCCTCCCACCCCGGGATTCAGCGGGCCCCCGGCCCTGCCCCTCACAGCCCCGCGATGAAATGTTGAAACTCAAGAGGGGCTGAACGAAGCCAGACATCCGGACTGAAACTCCGTGCCTGGGGTGGACCCGAGGGGCTGTCCGAACGCGGGGAAAGGCAGGTTTCCCTGCTGTGAAAGACAGACAGACAGACTGGTCCCGGCGCCCTGTCTGCCCCACCTGCTCAGGGCGGGGGCCCACGGGTCCCTTGGCAGTGAACGCTGGCCACCTGAAAGGCCCTTTGTGGAGCCGTGCGCGGGCACAGTCAGGCCGAGGCACAAGCCTCTCCCCGCTCCTGCCTGCTCTTGCCTGGACAGACTCTTGCACAGACCAGGAGAGAGAACACGGCCAGTCGCCTCTGAGGCCCAGCAGCCGCCGGGACGCACTGCTTTGCGTTCCCGTTTTAATCAGAGGACAACACCATTGCATCTTAACATTTAAGAGGGGCAAGCGTTGGGCCTAGTGGTGATGACACCTGCACCCCATGTTCAAGTGCTCGGGTTTGCGTCCCGGCTGCTGCTCCCAGTTCCGGCTTCCTGCTAATGGGCACCGTGGAGACAGCACATGATGGTTCAAGTATTTGGGTCCTGCCGCCCGTGTGGGAGACCTGGATGGAGTTCCAGGCTCCTGGCTTCAGCGTGGCCCAGTCCTGGCTGTTGCAGCATCTGGGGAGTGAAGCAGCAGGTGAAAGACCTCTCTCTCTGCCTCTGCCTCTCCGTAACACTGCTTTTCAAATACATAAAACACGTTTTCAATAGATAAATAAGCTATATAAAAACCTTTATGTGACAGTTGGAGAAATTTGAATACTAACTGGCTGTTTCATAATATTTAGGATTCAGTAGTTCTGATAATGATAATTGCATTACCTTTTTGAAAAGATTTCATTTGAAAGAGTTACAGAAAGAGAGGGGGAGAGAGAGGTTCTCCATCCAGTGGTTCACGCCCCAGATGGCCACAAGCACTTGGGCCACCTTCTGCTGCTTTTCCCAGACCATTAGCAGAGAGCTGGTTAGGAAATGGAGCAGCCAGGACTTGAACCAGTGCCCATATGGGATGCTGTTATGCCACAACCCTGGCCCCTACTGCGTGGTTTTTTTTAAAGGAGTCCTTATCCTTTAGAGATACATATTGTAATATTTATGGATGAGGTATATGACATCTGTGATTTGTTTCAAAATAATCTGGGGAGAAGAGAGTGGGTGGTGGTGGAAAAGAAATAAGAGTAGATGTTCGTTAAAGCTGGGAAATTTGAGATCCAATAATCTACCTTAGTGCATGGCTGGGAGTTAACACAGCAAGTGTTCTATTTAAGCTACAATTGCAATAGTAATGAATGCATTCATTAAAGATCAAGACAGTGCCAAGAATGTGGTTCTGAAAACAATTGCAGGAGGTAGATTCAGCCACCTCAGTTTTTAAAAGATGGGTTGGTGGGGAGGGAGACTCAGCCCACAAGTAGCGCAACTGGAATTCAACTCCGTATCTGAGTGAGTGCGAAGTGCAGACGCTTCGTGGCAGAAGGCTGCAGAGCAGGGGCAGGGTTGGCTGTCACGGAGAACCAGGCTGCAGTCTTCAGCTCGCTTTGGCCCGTGATGGCTTCTCCCCATGGCTGAGCTAAGTGTAGGGAGCTCAGGGGCCAGCGAACGCGCACCGGCCCTCGATGGCGCATGCATAAGAACTGCGTGGGTTTCCCAGTGCTTACGTGCTTTATGTCTTTGACACCCCACATAGACATCCCCTAGCAGTCACGTGTTTTGAGCTTAATAAAGAATATTAAAGTGAGTCTAAAACCATGACAGGTCTCTGAGCATTTACTCTGCCAAAGAAGAGAATAATGATTTTCCTGAGCTTCTTGAAAATAGGGGCAGGCATTGTTGCATAGCGGGTGAAGCCGCCGCTTGGGGTACCCGAATCCCATATCTGAGTGCCTGGTGTGAGTCCCAGCTACTCTGCTTCTGATCCAGCTTGCTGCTAATGTGTCCCGGGAGGCAGTGGATGATGGCTCAAGTGCTTGGGTCCTTGCCACCCACCTGGGAGACCTGGATGGGGTTCTGGGCTCCTGGCTTCCACTTGGCCCAGCCCTAGCTGTTGCAGGCATTTGGGGAATGAATCAATTTATGGAAAATCTTTCTCTCTCTTGCTCCGCCTTTCAAGTAGATGAAAAAAATATAACGTTTTTAAGAAACAAATTTCAAGACAAATTTCTCTATGTCGAGAACTCTGAAAAGCTATGGGCGAGACATTAACGAAATATTGCAAGGGCAAAGGATTTCAAGGGAAAAAACTGGAGCGCGACGATGAAAAAGAATTGCGAGCGAAACGAGACGTGGAGGGACCATAAAGCAGCGTTACTCATAAAGAAGCGAGTTGCCCTCCTGCTGCACATTCAGAAACAGTTCCTTGTTCATCTCTTATTTTCAGTGCCCCTCAAGAATCTCAGGAACACAGGGCCGGTGTTGTGCTCAGTGGGTTAGTCACCACCAGCAACACTGGCATCTCATATCGGAACGCTGGTTTGTATCTCCGGCTGCTGTTTCTCATCCAGCTCCCTGCTAACGCTCCTGGGAAAAGCAGTGAAGATGGCCCAAGTATATGGGCCCCTGGACCCATGTGGGAGACGCAGCAGAAACTCCTGGCTCCTCCTGGCTTTGCCTGGCCCAGCCCTGGCCGTTGCGGCCATTTGAGAAATGAAGCGGCAAATGGGAGATTGAGCACTCTCTCTCTCTTTCCCTGTCAATCAGTCTCTTCCCCTCTCCCGGTAACTCTGCATTTCTAATCAAGTAAAATAGACCTTAAAAAAAGAAAGCATATTAGCTTAATTAGAAGGGAGACTGGAGAATGCTTCTGAAGGGAAATTATAACATTGTTGTTAGGGGAGTAACTCCAAAATGTCAGGGGTGGAAAGCGTGATTTAGTCTCCTCTTGTCCTTTTGGGAGTGAAAAATGCTGTGGAAATTCAATAAACATTGTACGAAGGAAACTGGTTAAATATGGTGCAATGGGACCGGCACGGTGGCGTAGCGGCTAAAGCTGCCACCTGCAGTGCCAGCATCCCTTACGGGCGCCAGTTCAAGTCCTGGCTGCTCCACTTCTGATCCAGCTCTGCTATTGGTTGGGAAAGCAGTAGAAGATGGCCCAAGTCCTTGGGCCCCTGTACTCATGTGGGAGACCTGGAGGAGGCTCCTGTCTCCTGGCTTAGGATCAGCCCAACTCCAGCCACTGTAGCCATTTGATGAGTGAACCAGCAGATGGAAGACCTCTCTCTCTCTCTCTGCCTCTCTGTAACTCTGCCTTTCAAATTAATAAATAAATCTTTAAAAAGAAAAAAAGTATGGTGCAAGACAACAGTGTGAGTACAATGTAGCCATCAAAACCCACAATTTAGAAGAATGTTTAAAAATTCAGAAATATGTTTATTAGCATATTAAGAGTCAAATGCATATTCTAGAACTCCATATCAAATATCCTTTTAATTTTATATTTATTTATATTTTATTTTAATTTATAACATATTTATATATATATCTATATTATATGTTATATTATGATATATTATATATAATAATTTATATATTTATATTATTATATTTAATTTATATATTTATATTTATTTTTATTTATATTTTAATTTTCCACTCAATGGCTTCTAAAATCTCCCAAATTGTCTACAACGAGTAAGTATCTTTATAAATAAAACAAAGCAAAACAAAAACTTAGATGCTGCTAAGAGACCAATGAACCTCAAAGCCCAGAGAATGAAATCAAAGCCATTTCTTTTTTTTTCTTCTAGATTTTATTTGTTAATTTGAGAGGTAGAGTTACAGAGAGTGAGAGCGAGAGACAGAGAGAAAGGTCTTCTTTCCATTGGTTCACTCTCCAGATGGCTACAATGACCTGAGCTACGTCG